GACCTGGATTGTGATTTAAATTTTATCCATAATCTAAATTTAATTACGACTCCTGCATAAACATATTGAACAATGGACCTGAGAATGGAGTATGGACTTAACTTGATTATTTGTTAATCATTATCTGTTGGATTGTCATTGTGCAATGTGCATGGATACTGATGGACTTGCTCTTTTTCTCTCGACACAACGTACTTAAATCGTAGCTGGTTTGAAAGAATTGAACGTTGCAATTAATCGTTTTACTCAGTATTCTATATTGTTTATTTCGCAAAAACCGAACAGATATGAGGTTACGACTATTTATGCAGCTTTTAACACTACTATGTGTAACTTCGTGCCAAGGTAAGAATTATCAGTCCAATAATTACAATCGCCGGTAACTGGTATTACTATTACTATTACTACTATTCCGATAATTATCAGCGATCGCGATTATTTAAAGTCAAACCTGCTATGCGGTTTACATGCACCACATTATAAATCAGTTGTCTACACACTACAACAATCAAGAAAACCCTTCGAAGAAGGAATCCAACAGTGTTATTGCTAAATTCAAATTCTCCAAAATTATCTGCAGTGTTAATATCTTACTCTTATGTGCAGTGTTATGTTAATCGGGACAGTTTTATCACTAATATTAGGTACGTTCACCTTTCAGTTTCCGCAGTGTGTGATGTTACGCCCAAAGAAGTCGAGGACGAGGACGTTGGTAAGTTAACGCTTGTAACAATTAGTTCACAATGCAATTTTGACTGTTTTCTTACACCGTTATATCATATTATAAATATATGTTTCTGTACGTCATGTTTTAGTGGAGATCTCAGAATAAATTCACTCTTGTTTCTTGTCAACTTCTGACTTCTAATTAGTTATTTTTTAGAACCAACAGCTCAGAATAAGATAGATGAATGGATACAAAAATTTCAACAATCTCCAAGACTACGCCCTTTGCTTAAACTGGCTATTAGACGTCAATTCAAGAAAAGTAAGGGGTTACTATTGTACATTGTAGCTATCGATGAGTATGTTTGAACTGTTTTCGGAATAATTATAATCGGGTGGTTCGCAGCTCAGTCCTAATCTTTTCTACTTAGTCAATATTTTAAATTCTGAATAACGGTCTTCACTCTTTTTCCTCCACTGCTAAGACTAAGTAAATCTGGTTTCCAGCGGACTCCTTCTTCCACTCGCATGGTAAACCTGATAATTTTTTTCAGAGGACTCTTTCCTTCGAAAGATGTTGGGTCGGCTGGTACAAGATCCAAATGATGATAACTTTGAAGTAGGGGAAGTGGGTGTGACTAAGCCAGTTTACGGACCTCTGATTCCGATTATAACTAAGGTGTACGGAGAAACAAAGACTGTTGTGGTGAGTCTCATTTGTTGGACTAGTACAGACTAGAACTTCATAACTTTGACCTTAACTTTCTTGTGACATATTACTTTCTTAGCTAAACTTTTCTTAGCTAAGCAGTTTATTACTGAACGTATATTTTATGTCAGGGGTATTTAAAGTCGTTCGGATTCTTTGGAAAAGTTCTCAACATGTCACCCAACAAGCTAGATAACTATAACGGAACAGTGAGTTACGCGAAAAGTCTGGGGACTAAAAATAAACTAAAAACTATCAACAATTTTCTCTGAAGCTTCATGTTTTCTGGATTTCAGCCTCTCTGTTGCTACAGTTTATATTATAATTAAGCCAGGTTATACCTACTGAACACACTGAAACCTGTCCCTTCTAAGATACCACCGTGCGCTGTGACGGAGGCAGTGAAAGAGTTCCAGCTGTTTAACAATTTAGAGCCAACAGGAACTCTAACCAGAGAGACCCGCGACCAAATGAAGAAAGAAAGGTGTGGGAACCCAGACGTGCGGTGTGGTCAGTATTTCAGATTTAATATTCATGATTTAACCATTAACAGCCGTACACACCACACCGGTTTGAAGTACATTTGAAGTAGTATTGAGTATACTATCTAGTAGTAGTATCTATGAATATGATGTCGAATTACACTACACTCAATACGAACACGGGTAAGTGGTAAATTATTAAAATCTTTTTCTAATTTTGGCTTTTTCTTTTGTAATTTGAAAATATGTTTAGAAACGCCTGAGTGTCTTGCCGACGAGAAAAGCGAAATTTTAGACAGAAGAAGGAGATCACTAAGTAGAGAAAAGAGATGGAAAGTAAGCCGTAAATCATGGCGAACTAGCGATTTTAAGTAAGTGATAATAACGATGGAAAGGTTTTACTGCACACTATATTCTCAGTTTTACACAGTAAATGGTTCATCAGTAAATCAGGTTCATTACGTTATTATGATTACCACGATTTGCCTTTCACAGGTTCTTTTACCAAGGATACACTGAGGACTTGTCCCAGGACGTGCAAAGAAAAGAAATTGAGAGGGCGCTGAATGAATGGAAAGAAGTAGCCAATGTCAATTTTGAGGAGGTAGGATTAAGTACAATTTGAAGTGCAGATTACATAGAATTAGCTTCAAAATGAAGTTACTGATTTTCAACAATATTCTGACAAGGAGGGGGAAGTTATGTCTATGAACTCTAAATAAACTAAATCTCCCAGACGGAGAATGAAGAGGAAGCAGATATTCGAATAGGCTTTAAAAGTGGTGACCATGGTGATGATCACCCATTCTACGGACCGGGGGGAGTGTTAGCACACGGCTTCTACCCCAGAGAGGGAAAAGTGAGTTATTTTAATGGATCAGAATAATCATTATTATGATTTTGCTGCTACATTTTTTTTAGAATTAGTATGAGATAATCAAGCAGCACGATAATCTAGCGTTGTTATAATATATTAAATAATTAATCAAACTGCTACTAAAAGTACACAACCTACTTTAGCAACGGAGTTTTTGCTGTAGCAGAATCCAAATTATGCTTAACACTTTGAACTAATTCGAAAGGAAGGAATTATTTCTAAATCCACAACTGCACACCCCCAAGTTGCAGGTTTTTTGTTTTTATTAAACTACTCTTTTTCCAGATCCATTTTGATGAAGACGAGCAGTTCACAGCGAATGAAGATTCCGGTGTCAACCTCTATTACGTAGCCACACATACGTTCGGTCACGTACTGGGAATCAAACACTCCGACGTCTACGGAGCTGTCATGTACCCTTACTACAGAGGTACCATCATCACTTAACTCAGATTTCGAAATCTTATGAATTAGTTAGATAATGTTACGAGAGCGTCAATTAAAATTTGAATTTGGTGAGCCATTGTACAGCATATTGTTTTTGAAATCTTGGTAACACTACCTGTCAAGCAACTAGCTATTTACTTTGAATTTTATGCATCGTTGTGCATGATTTAAAAAATAGTGCTGCGATATTGCCGTATGTAGTGTGAATACTACTGTGAAGAACTCATACAGTGTCCTTTAAAGGGAAAACCAGTACACAAATAACCAAATAACAATTTGCGGCCCTAAACACTAAAGTGTTAACCAGAAATAAAATAATTGTTTGACGACCTGACGTTTGAAATATCTTCCAGGGTACCAAGAAGATATCAACTTCCATAAAGACGACATAGACGCAGCGGTATCTCTTTTTGGTAAGAAGTCTAAATTTTATTATTATGATTATATTGCTGTCTTGTCGTGCTCAATGTAAAATCTTCATTAAACTTTGATGTTTTTACTTGAGAAAAAATTAACATAACTTCTCCAGGTGTTCCTAGTCGTTTAAAGACTTTGGAGGCCCCAGGTAAGGACAAAACACATTCCTGCACGACACCTCCTAACAGCGTTCAAAGTGCAATCAAAGTTTAAGAATAACTAAACATTCTTTAACTTACTATTTTGAAAACTGAATCTTAGTTTCATCACCATCTTGCTAGGGAACAGGATATTAACCGTAACACCCACATAATTAATTAAGTGGTCAAAAGAACTTTATTGACTCCGACACAAGTCCCAAAGGTGGGTTAATAACGTTAAAACGTGTTCTACGAATATAAAACATACGAACTCTTAACAGAACCATTGCTAGCAGATTATTAAGTGTGATTCCAATAGACTGTTCATTCTAGTACATTCTGTTCATTCTAATAGTAATACATTCTGTTCATTTTCTAGTACACTCTGTTTGCGAGCCTACAGAAGTAAGGTGACTTGTTTACAGAATATTATTAGAAAGTATAACGATGTGTTTCCTGGTTTCGGGGATCCGGAACGAAACTCATTGAAACATAAATAAAAACTAAAAGGTTATTGCTTATAATCTCAGGAGAAAAGGGACCACAAGGAGAGGAAGGAGAAAAAGGAGAAGAAGGAGCGACTGGAGATAAAGGGGCTCAAGGAAATAACGACTTCTGTTCATTGGATATCTGTTTGTTTGAAGGAGCAACAGGTGAGAATGGTGCTAACGGGGAGGCTGGAGCAACTGGAGACTCTGGCGAGCAAGGACCACAAGGACCACAAGGAGAGAAGGGTAGAGAGGGTAGTGAAGGAGCTCCTGGACTTTCAGGAGAATCCGGACTGAAGGGTGATCAGGGAATAGAAGGAGATGATGGTTCTGCTGGAGTGCCCGGAGAACAGGATTGTAAACCGGAGAGCTGTGGATTAACGCTGGGCCATTGTTACGGGAGTAGCAGTGTTATTCCCCACTGTCCAGTGTAGGGAGGGGTACGGAGCAGCTTCTATCTGGAGGAACACGAGGTTCTGGGGCCTCAAGTGCTGCAAAATTATTGTCAAACAGTGAGATTACAATCTGAAGTTGTGACTTGATGATTTCTATGACGAGTATGCGATCTACCGTATAGTGACGTTTCTATGTGTGGTCAACTGATCTGTATAACTGCATTTAATTACAGTTAACAGTAACACCCTCTATAATACATAAAAAACTGTAGTTGAATTGTGAATACGGATTATGATTAATAAGGCTGTATTTATTGATTCCATTACTTTGATGAAATTTCCCATTCCAGTAGGTTTTGTATCATTCACACTGCACTTTAATACCAAATTGAGCAAGATGAATGATATTGATTGTCAAAAGATTTCTATAATTCTATTGCCTCTTCTCTGCGCTTATCATTTTACACAGACTACTACTCGATTTATAACATTGGAGCAAATTCTTGTTTTTTTACGTTCACGGTATGCATGCAAAAAACACCTAATTTTATGATAATAATTGATAATGATTTAATTGATGAAATCGGTCGTTTTCGATGAAGTCAAAAAGTTTTGAGTCACATACTGAATTGATTAAAAACATCATTATTTCATAGACTAAATATATTTGAGCTTAGTTTTACCCATAAACTATCGTTTCTAACGTTAAGTGCGAAAATCACCAAGCTTATATCCAAAGTTACACAAAATATTACTTAACGTGATAAATAACATCAATAATGATTCAAATTAACAAATATCAAAAATGTGTCACTGCACGACTTTTTAAAATTATCACATCATGCATTTCCAAACGTTATGTTAACAAATTCATACATGATCTTCGACCATAATGCTTGGTCGAGTTCTGTGCGTAAAAATGAATAAAAACGAACTCTATCGGTGACGTAAACAATCATTTTATTCATATCGTAAAAACAAACTGTTGCAACCCAGTAAAAGATTCTATTTGTTAGTTCTATTATAGAGGTAAAGTCGAATTGATAGTCCAAAGAGGAATGCAGCGCATACGAGGGCCATAAGAGTGATCTTTGCTATCGCGTCTGAAATAAAAGAAAAGTCACAACATTGACAACACTGAAAACAGTGAAGCAGTAACAACACTGACAACAGTGAAGCATTGAAAATAATATTTGTTGAAGATTGAAAAACGAGTTGAAAAAGGGCTTTCATTTTAAGAGAAAATCGTTTAGTTCACAAAATGTCGGTTCATTTATATAATTATAATATAACGTCGTCATGGTAATATAACGGTATAAGGGGCCAGTGTATTATACTTGACGGATCCATTGTGCAACCAGTATGAGATAACGGTGCCTGTGTCTTGTAAAAAGAAGTACTTAAAATGGAGATGTCGGCTCTTGATTTGACATGGTGCCAAACGGAGATCATGGCGACAACTAGGTTATCTAATCCTAAGTGTGTGGTCACCTTTTAGTTGATTATAGAAAAGTAATAATGAGACAAGCATTTAGCATTTAAATGTTACAACCATTTACTCTCTGAAGACGATAAAAAGTTGCTGAACTCAAGGATGTTGCTCTCATGACAACTTTACAACGAGACTGCAAGAAGACGAAAGTAATTGTACCGCTACGACACTCAAAATAAATGATGAAATATTGAACATGAATGAGCACAACCACAGGATGACATGAAATCAGGAGATTACTCGCAGAATCTTACTTGATTGGAGTTTTCATTAGCTGCACATCCACAACCAACCAAGCAGCGTTCCATGCAACTGCTGGCATAGTCTTCCGGACTACAAAGATTGTGTGAAGATACAAAGCGCAGCTCAACCAATACTGACATCTTACAGTTAGCTGTAAAATACTTGCTCTTGCTACATGTAGCAATAAACTTGCTTTAATAACTCAGGGCTCATAGATCCAATGACATGATCATTGATCAAATATCAATACTTTACTTTCAACTAGGCCTTGAATAAAATATGGCTGGTCCCATACTAAACCAGTAAGGTTCAAACTTCAAACTTTAAAATGCTGCAACACCAGTGCTTCCGAAGTGGGTGAACGTAAACAAATAAGAATGTTCAATGCAGTACAAACAACAGAACTTCGACTACCAATGCACACGAGCTTACTTTAAATTTTTATGAAATGCTACAAATAACTAAAGGTGAGAGTAGTAAAAGAAACCTGAATGAGACATGAGTGGACTAGAAAGTCCGAACAATACACCTGAACACCAAAAAGGACCTAAATTTTTCACACACATCAAATGAAGTCCCAGACGCACTCAAGTGGCAGAACCCAAAATAAAGTATGAAGCACGCCAGACCATGGAGAAAAAGGTGAACTTACTCTTGTCTGGTGCTGGCCTTGTTATAGTAGCACAGCTTTATTATAAACACAGATATAAATGTCCAAGTAGCGAGTGTGATCATGGTTATTCTGGCGGCTGCGTCTACAATAAGGGGTATGTTAACTGACATATACAGGGGGGAAGTGAAACTGTACAAATTGAGGGTCAGTGGGAGGTGGACCGACCTGAGTAGGTTTCACACAGCTCGTACTGTCTCCCACACGCTGCGGGCGCTTCTTCGGGAGCTCCTGGCCAGATTATGTTATCAGCACTTAGCGTTAGAGACTCGTTCAGGTGTCTATCCATCCACCATGTGCCCACCTGGGAGAATGGGAGTGTAGAAATTTTAGTGAGTTGGTGAACAGGGGTGTTTGATTAGACCACGTTTAATCGTTAATTAATGACTAAACGAATATTTATTATCAAATGAGCCTGTACTGATTTGTTATACTGATAGACATGAGGGGGTGACATTGCTTCGTAACCATGGTAACCATGCGTTCTAATGACCGTTCACTTTTACGACAGTCGCTAACTGGGTTAGAGATAGTTACAGAAGCTATCCTGTGACAGATATCAAGGCATGATAACGCTCAAACGATCAATTAAACTGATTGGCCCCGCTAAAATATGCAATAATTTAGTTAGGGTATGTCCGGTAAACAGGCAGTAACTTTTGTAGATTAAAGAATTTATACAACGCTGCGATCTCAAGAGCCTAATTTTGTACTGAAATTCAGGATTTTGTTTCTGCTCAATTTTTACTTTTCACTCGCCCGTTTTCATGATTCTCAATTATGAAAAGCATATATTTGCTCACGACATTCCTTCTACTCTTTCCACCGGACCAAATCTTGCCCACAACACTGCCTAGATCAGTCTGCTGGAAAGGAGGAGTCAAATCAAAGATTAACTCATACGGCGCGTACGGAGCAGCTGATTTCAAGGCTTGTGCTACACTGTTACTCCGAGAATCACAGTATTTCTCTGCAACTGTGGATACCAATACCTCTATCTGTTATCTCTCGAGGAGCGTACAGTTTGTGACTGGTGTTATCATAGACCATGAACTATCCTGGGAACCCCAACTAGATAACATAAAAAGTAAACTAACTACAAGTATAGCTATAATTAAACGTATTATGAAGTTTATTCCAGAAACAGAGTACCATAAGCTGTATGACTCCTTATTCAAGTCTCATATGAGCTACTGTATCAGTAGCTGGGGTGGTGTCACACCTCATAGACTATCTAAACTGTTCTCCATCCAAAAAAGATGTGTACGCCTTCTATTTGGAAGCAAACCAAGCTTTGACCGGGCAGAGTATTATAAAACATGTGCACGTGCAAGACCATACAGTGAACACATCGCAAAAAGGAGCTTTGCTTTGGAAAACACTAAGCCAATATTCAATACCGAGAAAATCATGTCAATCCACAACCTGTACACCCAACATATATCCACTGAACTGTTTAAAATCTTGAAACTGCATCAACCTATCTCTCTGACAAGTTTATTCCAAACAAGTTCCAGAGCATGTAGCCAAACTATGCGGGTCCCCCGACACAAACTTGAAATTTCTAAACACAATTTTGTCTTCAAAGGTACGACTATATGGAACAGTTTGGTTGATAAAATATTCGACAAATGCACTCCTAATGAAAACAATGTCATGGTCCCTGGCTCTAGTAAATTTTCCGACCTTTCCTCCCCCATCTCAATTATCAAGAGCCGTATCAAAAAGCTCTTACTTGAAACCCAGCAATTGACAACACCTGGGCGTGAAATTGAGTGGCTCCCCCTAAATAGCTGGGGCATTGAACCAGCTTAGTCAATCAGCATCCCATCCCTTGCATACAACTAATTACAAAAGCGCTAATTATACCTGTTTTAAAAGCATCCTGTCTGGAAGTTCCCTGACTGCCGTGTGAATCTTTGGATCTATTTTTGGATCTATTTTTATATTGATATGATTTTTATATACCTATATATTCCTCGCATAATTTCCATGTCCGCCTGAACAAACCTGGCACCATCAAATCTTACTCTAGAAACCCCAGAACTCATCAAGCCTAGTCTGATTTTAAAACTAGTTGACCAGCTACGTACAGTTTCCTGGACAGCTGGAACCTTTTGGGCCATGCACAAGCCAATAGCATGTATGGTCCTGCAGTGGGGTCTCCTTGTCCTTGGATCTGTGTTTTGATCCGTCTTTTCTTAAAATTTTCCATTTGTGTCACTTAGAATCACCTTTTAAAATGTTAATCGACACCACTGGTCCTAGTTAAATTTAGCCATGACACGACTACTCGAACGTAACAGTTAAATAGGTGTGACATACTATTATATTCTTATAATTATATCATATGAATTGATTGCACTGCTAATAAATAAAATACTTTGTTTTACTAAAAATACTTTGTTTTACTACTGAGGTTGAGGCCACAAACTGGTATGCAAGCAAGGTTTGCTTGGTCGCTGATGGAAATATTATACTTGGTAAGTTTTAAATGCTTTGGCATTTTCCATACCTTCTCCCTCACCTAACAATGCACAGTGGAATTTTTCATAGAGAGATAGTGTGTCAATCTTCTAATCATTAATGTAAATATTGAGATTCTATTCTAATAAAGCGATAACTTAGATATCGACCAAATGAGTATTGTGAAATAGTCCTTGTGATAATTGACAAAACTTTGTCAAAAGAGCACATCATTGGGAAAGAAATTAAACTAATCATCACGTCGCTAACAAAAAAGACAGCAACATTAGCGGCCAGTTATTTAAAATAAGAAAACTGGCTACTGCTACTAAATAACTAATAACATCAAAGGCAGGGAATAACAACACGTCGCAAGCTTGCTGCAGGTCTGCCTTGCTGCCTTTCAATGTAGGACCAATGAGCGGTCGTACATACATTGTACAAAATGAAACTTTCGAAAAATATAATAAGGAAGATATGGGTTAATGGTCCGCATTATAATATTATGGACAATAATTAATGAAAAGCCCATAGAAGCCTTATAAAATAACAGTTCATAGCTCATGCTAAATATCCCAGTTCCGTCAATTCTTGTTAAATTTCCAATTTATAGAGCATACTTAATTTGAGCAGATTCTTAATGTAAGAACCCAATTTCTACATTCAAGCGAAATTCAATTAAAAATTCGAACAGTTACTCCAACTCAAGAAAACAAACCTGTTTAAAATCGCCGTTTTGTATGTTCATTACTTGGACGTTTCCAAGCCTGTCTCCAGTTACATCTATTTTTATTTGTCCAGACATCCCTGAAAATCGGACTGTGTGATACATTGTTATCTGCTGGTGCTGAAATTCATAGCATGGTCCATGATTCAAAGTCATTATTTTAGTCCAAAATATGTTTCACGCAGTTTTACCAAAAGAGATTGTTACAATTGAAGTGAGCACAGTTCTTACCAGTCCAAGCGTATTTTGCCATAGAGGCTACCAGTCTCTCTCCATCTTCAATTTCGTGGTTGTTATCAACTGCTGTTTTCAGAGCCTTAGCATAGAGCATCACTGCGTCATACATCTGTGCTGCAACTAGATTCGCCTGGGGGATTCTGGTACTACTTTCTATTTTATCATTATTGTCTATTTCTGGTCTGGGGGTCTCATTACTGGCGACTTTTGGTATTTCTCGAACAAATGATCTCTCAAGGACAAAATCCGAAATTTTTCAATTGAATAGCTATGACACCCCCAAGCCAGCGACTAGCATGTTATAATTTTTAGAATATTTTAACCAATTGGACAATTGGTATTGCATTTTGTTGGCTTATCTAGAAGAATTATGCAGCACTAAATTAAAAATACATTTGATAATTTTCACCAGTTACTTAACCAGTTAAAGTGACCAGAGGAACCTGGCCAGGTTTCAGCACTGGATATTACAAATTAAAATACCCCCTGCAGTTGTATGGTCTGACTTTACGGACCAAATTAGCACAACTAATAATAAACGTTCCTGTACATACCATGAAGCACACTATATTATCGTGGAAGTTAAAATGTTTAAACATATCCAAAGGACTTGCTTAAAGTTCAAGATGGAGAAAGAAATGACAATCGCTGTTTAAGTTGACACCTATCGGACGGTCACCACATGCCGTTGCAGGTAGGTTACATTTGCTTCAACACATGCTGAATGAGCCCAATATTGTGGGACACGAAAGTCAGTCAGTCTAGAAATGAATTGTCAGTCATGTAAATACTCTGAAGTGCAGAAAGGGTTAAGAACAGTAAGAAAAAGGATCAAGATTGAAGATTCGATTGCAGTGAATGTATTTTGTTCATATTCATAATTCATTACATTCATTAATTAGCTGTTAAATAATCAAGAAAATTTATAAAAAATACAATAAAATGATGATAACACCCACCACGTCTTTCCCTGTTTTAGGATACTGCTTCTGATCCACCACTTTTCTGACACGCTCGCTAAAAGAAATATAGTTTTTATCTGATTTGTCCAGCAGAGGTTCGAGGTCGATAACACCCTCTATTGACCTGAAATTGGAGCAATTATGTTTGGTGTGTACAGTGCTATGTTTATCTTCTTATCGTACTGAGCGCATGATACATCCTAACAGACATTTTAAGGTACCCTCAACCACGATCCATAAATAGTACCAACTACCCGTATGTCTAGCAGAAGTTTAGACAAAATTATTCAGATCTAGAATGATCTAGGGTTATATTTTGTTCATTAAATTAATGAGAATAATTTATATAATTCTTACTGGATTAGATCTTTATCTTCTTTATTAAGATCTGCCTGAATGAACTCCTGCGTGATGAAGGCAAAATGTCCATTGTTCATTCCTTGCTTCATGGCAGTTTTCAGCACAAATATAATATCCCGTGCGTAACCCACAATTATTATCACTGAAAGATGATTAATTTTCTGATCCTTCGGCTGTGAGTATAGTTAGTGGTCACTATCCACGTAAGGGTTCGAACCGTGGATTTAGTACGGTTAAAATATCAAAATACTAATTACCCCCTAAAATGGTTCATAATATCGTTAATATTGCATTTTAAAATGGATCGAACCCAATTCCCAAATATCTAACAAAACACTCGGAAAAACATTTCTTTTAGAACATTCAAAAAGAAATGATAATCTTCTTTTCGCGATTATTCTAGTCTATTCACCTCTGACTTTAGTTTTCATCCTGTTTAGCTGTTCCACAAGGAGCTGATAAGTGTCGGAAGTTTCGTCGTCCGAATTTTCATCAAAGTAAAACTTCTCTAACATTACTTCTATGTCCAACATTCCGTTGTTTTCTTTAGTTCCCATAAGTTCCTTCATCTTTCCAGCTGTTTTCACATACCTGCCGTATGTGACGATATAGAGTGATATATTCGTCCTTTTCAATTAAAAAATGTATTTATACTTAAAGATTAGCGGGGAATTGTTTAACTTTTATTGTTAGTGATGTTAAAGTAGCTTTTCCTGTCGTACAAAGCGAGGGCCCGCAGTGTTAAAAATGTTAAACACAGCAAAAAAGCAAACGGTCAGGCACTCTTACCAATCTATGTTGTTGACCATCAAGCCAACTTTAATCCAGTTAAACCTATTACAGATGGCTATAATAGATTTGGTATACTTGAACACCGACAATGATAACCTGTAAAATAAGTAAATGACGTTATTTCAAGAAGAGATAAAAATAAATTACAAGAGTTGAGAAAGGATAACCGTCTTCTCAATAATACTTATCAGCTTCATCCGATCGTAACCAAAATACAACATATATTTATTATTTACCTAGCGAAGGTGGGATATTTGTCAGTTTTAGAAAGATCGTCGGAAGAGCAAGAGTGGGATACGACGGGGATATTCCACTGATCCGAGGAACACAAGTACCCGGCCAACTCACACACTACGGAGCACGATATTCCAATAACTGCGCGAATCTTCCTGAAAAACAGCAGGGTCAAGGTTAAGTACGGAGCACAATATTCCAATAACTGCGTGAATCTTCCTGAAAAACAGCAGGGTCAAGGTTAAGTATACTTAAGTATGTATGCAGCAGTTTAGTAGTAACTGGCAAAGTAGCATTAGTAGTTGTATAATTAAAGTGGTTGAATTACATTTCATAATTAATGTATTTTACAGCTCGTTATTAGTTTCGAGTCAGATAAGGCTTATATATATATTACTTATTTTCCTCGTTATCATAGGCGTTAGTCAGCGCTTTGAGTCCAATTTCCATATCACATCCGTCATCTTTGAACAACATGTCAAAATGATAGCCGGGCAGGAAGGTTTTATCAGCGTTGATATCTTCAATAGCTAGCCGAGCAGCGGCTAAGTTCTCATACCCCGTCGTCTGAGAGGTGTTGAATTGCTCAAATAATTACGTGTCAAGTGTCAACCGAATAATCACGTACCGTGTCATCCGAAGTGCACGTTTAAAACAAACAAGATGGCATAATGTTAGAAATGTTAAAAACAACTAAACATGAGAATTGTACACTACTTACCGCATACAGACTAGAGCTGATGTCAGTGAGGACTGCTAGGTAGATGGTATGGTTTGGAGTGATTACCCCGCTGTCTGAATTTACCCTTTCTTGGGTTTCTTTGAGTCGGTAACCATCATTTTCAGAGTCACCAATTTTTGTAAGAAAACCTGGGAATAAAGAGTATATTAGCGGAGCTGTTGCAAAATACAGTGATTGTTGTAGTGGAATCATGGAAAATTTAGAGCGCCAGAGCGACTCATTTAAGTGTACACTTTCAATTTCCATATATTTTAATTTGGAAGAATTTATCGATCAGATGTATATTGTATATATATATATATGCGATTATTATATTTATACAACAATGTGTGCTTTTAGATCTATGGGTGCATGATCATTGGCCAATTAAAATTAATTCATGAGCATAGTAATATCAGTAGTACACAAATATGTACACAATGCATAAACATTACATAAGCAAGTGCACAATGAGAAGATACCACCGAAGCAGAATAGTGCTGTGAACACACGTATCACACATTATAATTATCACATAATATTATTATAATTACCACATTGACATATTATCACGTTTTTTCACGACAAACCCAACATTACCTAACATTTGGTGATTTGATAGCACCACGCTTCCTAAGTATGAACAAATATGAATTGCTGATAAATCGAAAATCATCAATTATATAGTTATGCCTCAAGCGAAGGCATGATATTTGATTCACAGTACTTCGCTATTTCATTATTTCACACTAGGTCACTGTAAGCATAAAATAAGACATGCTACGCGTACAATTCTACACTATTCTCTACGTCATTCTCTTTGATTAACTTTAATCCTCCTTGATCAATGAGAATCAATGGTCAAATTATAACATTCCGTTTGGAAAAGTCCTTGGAGCGTGCCTTTTTATTGGACGATCAGGTGGGTAAAGTGATAGTTGCAAGATTACGAAATTAATTGTTGCCTTGTCTGCAGTAACCGACACGAAAAGCCCGAATGATCGCGCAACCCGAATGGTTGGGTTATTTGGTTGAATTCCTATACCTTACTCGGGAATATTATAGCGGGTTAATTTATGACTGGGAAAATTAATGACCGGGAAAAATATGGCGGAATTTTCCAAAACCCACCACTTTATCCCAGTCATAATATTCCCGAGTAAGGTAACAGCACAAGCCACTACAGTGGTTACATTGACCACGATATGATTAGTCTGCAGAGTATCCCTTACCAGTATTAGGAGTATCCACAATATTACACGCTGCACAGTGTGACCAGAGTGACCACGGTGTGACCACGGTGTGACCACAGTGGTCACTGAGTCACTGACCACTTCATCCACTATCAGTGCGCGACGAACAGGGCACATTTAGTAGTATATGGTGCCACAATATAGATCTTGATACTCCAGTAGGGATATGAACCATATTCTTTCTGATACAAGCCTAAGTTTATCCATTAATCTTCCCGTGTTGACCAATAAAAACTCAGAATCACCCTCACGTGTCAACACATGAGAATAAGGTCCACCTCCCCACCAGAGTCCAGATCACTCGACAATATAATTACAGCTTACCTATAATCAGAAAAGGGAGTGTAAGGATGTAGCTCATTGTACAGCCAATGTAGAGCGTCAGAGCAGCTAACCATGGTCACTGCTTTCCCTCATTTCTGAGATAGCGGGTAAGTTAAGAGCTAGTTACTTTCATGTTCGTTTTGAAATGAAAGACGAAAGTAAAGACGAAAGTAGTTAAAAAATTGAATATTTCATCAAGATTTGTAACAATCGCTTAATATAAGCTAATGAAAATGATATAAGCTAATGTACGCTATCAGTAAACCGATGAAGCGGCATATATAAAGTAGAAGCAAAATTGATAAACTGGTTATTGTCGTGCACACAAGTGACACAGCTTGTAGAGCTATAAATGTAATGATGACTTTGAGTTGTCTAAAATAAAATATATTCTGTACAGCGATTGCGAAACTAGACGTTAGAGCAAGACATGTCTAGAGAATGTTGTAACTTGCAGAATGTAGACATTGTTACAGTGTTACTACATAATAGTAATACCATGTAGTTGTAGAACAAAAATATGCATGTGTAGAAAACGAGGCTAAACCCAAATTACAAATGCGTCAAAATATTTCTTCTCGTGTGAATTTGCGGTGCAAGAACAATACAGTTCTCGAAAGTAATACAGTTCTCTAAACTAATTATGGTCCAGCCACGCGGCAGTAAATTTCCGTTTTCAGTACAATTTAAGATTAAAGTTCGGCGCAGTTCAAAAGTGCAAGTCGTTTAAGGAACGTATAAAATGCTATGAAACTGCGCCTCACAACCTAAGAACTGCCAAACATCCACCAACCAAAAGTGTTTGACGTCAGGAGATGAGGACAATTTAGTTAGTTGAAGCTAAACTTGAGTTTCACAGAAAGGAACTTTCAATTTGTGTGTGATCTGCTTCAATTCAAACTATGGCTTTCACTTTTACAGAATGATATTGGAAATGTCTGGGAAACAAAGGAAACATAGGGAAATGTCTGGGAAACAAAGGAAATGTCTAGGAAACAAAGGAAATGTCTAGGAAACAAAGGAAATGACTGGGAAACAAAGGATTCAAACTGTGGCTTTCACTTTTACAGAATGATATTGGAAATGTCTGGGAAACAAAGGAAACATAGGGAAATGTCTGGGAAACAAAGGAAATGTCTGGGAAACAAAGGAAATGTCTAGGAAACAAAGAAAATGACTGGGAAACAAAGGAAATGTCTAGGAAACAAAGGAAATGACTGGGAAACAAAGGAAATGACTGATCACACAATAAGGCAAAATAGATAATATAATTAAATAAATTTAAATCCAACAAAAGAAAGCATCCAGATTTTTGTATGAGCGTCGAGGTAGGTCTGCAACTTTGAAAACTGGCAGTACATTTACCTATTTACGTGACACGATCAAAGAAGGTCGAATTAGAAGGAGAGAACGACAAAGCAGTTTTTATACCCCGTACGTATCAGAAATCAACACCACCAAGGTGGAGATTGCTGATATCAGATCGGCTCTCTTAAACATGACTAACCAATAACTTTAAAGTAAAAATATGCAAAGTCAAAACCAAAGTACAGTCCGAAAAATATGTAATGATTAACGATCCGAGCATTTTTGCAATTATAAAAGGACTTGTTCCTATTGACAAGATGGTTTGATGTCGATTCGGGGACTGGACAAGGTGATGTGCAAGGGCCTCCCATTTTCAACCTTGTACTTAACTGGGGATTAGAACTTGCCGAGAAGTTTAAAAATATATCGCGTGGTTTTACTCTTCAGTACAGACAAAGTTCCAGACAACCGGAAAAATGTGTCATTGATTTGGACTATGCTGATGACATAGCAGGCATGGATGACACTGTCGAGGGACTGCAAGAAACAACGGACAATATTGCGAAATACTGTGGGCTTGGGGGTTTAAAGATGAACGCAAAGAAAACAGAGATCATGGTAATTGGGAAAGATACGTCGCGGCGCCCGCTCCCGGAGAGTGGGACCATAGATGTTACTGTCGATGGAGGCTCTGCAAAGCAGGTCGCTCAGTTCGCTTGTTTGGGTGCCGGGGTTGCATCGGATGGCAAGATCGATAAAGAAATGAGTGTCGGGATTGGGGGGGCAACCGGAGCTTTTGGCCAACTCAATAACATTTGGAAGAGTGGGAACATGAGCATTAACAACGGGGTGCGGATCTACGTCGCAGCTGTTCTTGCCGTTCTGGCCTGTGGGGGTGGGATGTGGAGCGCGACTCAAGTGCAGGCAGGGGGATTGGGGTCTTTCCATCAGTACTGCTTACGCAGAATCCTGAGAGTGAGGTGGTTCCGTCGGGTAAGAAATGAAGATGTTTTAAGAAGGGCTTCAATGGCTGCTCTTGCTGACATAATAGCAACAGGACGGCTGCGTTGGTTTGGGCATGTCGGTGGAATGCCTGAGGATCGGTTACCTAACTATCTACTTGAATGGAAACCCAGGCGTGGGAAGCGATCGGGAGGCGGGCCTAGGGGGAGCTTGAGTGATGTGTTTGTTGGGGATGCTGAGCGGGGATTGGATCGTGATGGACTCACGATTGATTGTGTGAGGGGATTGGCTGCAGATCGGGGGGGATGGAGGGATGTTGCCCGCCGAAGTTGTATAATACAAAGTAATGACGCAGATGACGCAGACTAATCCTTTTGGATGGAGATCTCGCCATGTAACATGTATGTATGTTCCTATAATATTTGACTAACAGTAACAGTTAAAATACGAATATTATAGGCTACACTCATGTGAATAGAGTATGCGATTATAGTAAATTTGAAAGTGAAAATTTATCTATAGAAAATGTTCGACTTAATATAGTAGTAGTAGTAGTAATTAAGTAGCAGCCACGAATCTATCTTTATTTATCGTTTACAATTCATCCGGTAATGATTGCCCTCAAACTACCAAACGCACATAATTTAAACCGTGTATAATTATAACCATACAAAAATTCAACCGCCAAACAATTTTCAGCATTTAATAATTGTTGCAATTTCAATTTTAGAAAATTACCTAAGTATGGAGCTTTGAAGAGTAAGGCAAAGGATACCGAGTTAAACACCAATTTAAGACAAACATTTTACTCTTCACCCCACTTAATCAAAGGATTATATTTAATTACACAACTAAGCTTTGTCAGTGTGCTGTGTTTTACGAAATGTTTGGCAATCTTAAATGCTGAGAAGAGAAAGATAATAAATAAAATGACATGACTGGTAAATAGTAAATACCGTACATAATTATAACCTTACACACTGCATAGTTTAGCCTCGGACATTTTAAATTTTAGTGAATACTGAATAGTAAGTGAGTAGGTAGCTGTAGGTTGTATTTAAAAAGCGAGTCAAGTAGCTGTTATAAAAGCAAGTCAATGTAGCTGCGGTTGATGCCAAAAAAAACTAAGCACTATTTTTGGGAGAATTGGGTTGAACACAAATGACAAATGAGGAATTATGCTATCATGACATCATGACATGTAGCATTTCACCCAAAACTCTGCCAGCCAAATTATACTGGGAAATGCTTTCACACGACAATATGGGCTTTTTGAAGCAAATTTGATGAGTTTGAGATTTACTGTGGCTTCACCTTTCATAAACAAAATACTTAATTAGCTAGCTAATTGACATGAATGGTAAGATAATATAGATAACGAAGAAATTTTTACCCACGCATTGTAAATTTATGAATAACAGCACGGTGAAAATATAAATAGCTGAACTGAGTTTTGGTAATTACCATAAATCAGATACTTTATTTGTAATTATGGAATTGGACGGTGATAGGTTGGACGAAGGCAATACAATGAGAAGATCAGCCGGCACCGACGTGACTGACCTTTAACAAAAGAGAAGAGAGGCATAATTAAATCGAATTAATGGCAAGGACATTGAATAAAACCAACTATTTTCATACATATTTACACAACTAATAAAGATGAAAAGACAGTAGTGCTTAAACGAAAGAAGGACGAAATGAAATTGTGGCAATTATAAAATTTAGTGGATATTCGAAATAATAAGAGTAAAATTCTAATGTTATTTAGATTTTTGATACGTAACGCTTCAATGTAGGAAACCTAATCGCCTACTAGGAAAAATTCCAAAAATAAAGATAATCGAGAACCAAGGTTCTATGTTCCCTGCTTATCTGGTTAAGGAAAACTATTGTAAACAAACTTAGCGACCTATAGATTTACTAATACTACAAATTTACTACTGTAGAATTACCAATCTGTTAAATATTTAGGCTGAAAACAACCATCTGTAATACACGAGGAGAGTTAATACCACGAAATAGTCAGTTGTAAAACGGAAACATTACGCACTTATCAGGCTTGAAACTGCAGCTAAAGTCTTAACATGACTATAACTGTGCTTAGTGGCAAATGCATGTCGGTTCTTCTTTTAATCATTCATATCCTAATTGTATCGCTAAAAATTACACTGAAATATTGAATCATATTTTTGTTCAAGCGTGCAGGGAACGAAAAAAATTATCAATTCTGTCAGCAGCCATCAGAATTCAGAATTCTGAACAGAATAGACGTGACATATGTTTGATCGGCCATAATTCTAATAACTAGTGCAGCGTAATATAAATGGGTGGGCGAGTGACAGTCGAAAATTAGTAGCTCAATAGTCTAATTCATTTCAATTCGGCAGGTTGGTCTGGTTCGCAGATTCAGTATCATGAACGCTTTATACTGAACCACAAGTAGCTACATAGAAACCTTAAAATGCGAGACGGCTGCATTTCATTAAATATTCCAGAGGATCATTATTATAATGACAAGGAAGGCAGGACATGCAAGATACATCCAGGGACTGTTTATGGTTGTTGGTGTCATGCTCTAGCTAGAAGCTACCAATAATAGTACAATGTATGCTCTATACGTGTACGATGTGTGGTCGTTATGCTGCTTGCTGCTGCAGTTCCTCATTACACTATGCCTCCAACCATGAACAAGATCACATGTGCGCAGATTAGACCGTACTAATTAAACACTGAACAGACCAGGAGAATATGAACAAACATCTCCGTGTTCTGACGTTCTGTAACAGCCCTGTAACAGCCCTGTAACAACCCTGTAACAGCC